TAACATAGCTAGAGTAGTTAATAATAATTAAAAATATTGATAATATATTGAATTTGTGTCAATTTAAAATTAAAATTGAAAATTGAAAGAAGAAAGATAGAATTTGATGCCATAAATAAATATAACATTTTAATTTTAATGACAAAAGTATTAAGTATCTGTACTGTCGTCAATTGTCCCAGAGCACAAAGTTGTCTAAAAAATGACTAAAAGATGACTAAATTGTTATAAAGATATCTTTTAGTAAAAAAATATTGTGGACGAAAAGATGATTAAAAGACGACAGATGTCGCACTACTAGTCATAATCTTATAGTCTTATCTATATAATTAAAGGCTTCTTTGGATATTTTTTGGTCGTCTTTAATACTTCTTTTAGTTTTTATATTTTGATACAATATAAGGTTTAATAATATCGAATTTCTAAATTAATTTTTACATAAAACGAAATAAAATTGCATTACTGACAATATACATCCCATTTTCTGTAATATTTGTCGTCCTATGTGCAGAAGTCATCATCTATCATCATAGTCCCCTTTGAGGACTCGATTACAAAAAAATATTTTATTACTGTTTATTAAAACACAAATAAAATTTCTCATAATGTTGCATCTTTTATTCTGTCCTGTATGATTTTCAAACACGGGAAACTGAACTTCATCGTGTCCATCTGGTGGCGATCTCGTGTACTGTTCGTGAATGAGTGATAAAAAGTATCAAAATAACGAAAAGAAATCTTTTTCATGTTGTCTTTTCGGCAATACAAAAAGATATTTTTTAGTCGATCTTTTGCTTTACGAAAATGACAACCATAGAAAGATGACGAAAAGATGTCTTTTTTTTAAGTTGTCTTTTCGACAGAACTAAAATATGTCTTATAGACATCTTTTGGTTTTACTGAAAAGACAATCTAAAAATAATCTTTTCATCATCTTTTCGCTTTGTCGGAAAGATAACTTAAAAATAAAGACCTCTTTTCGTTATCTTTTAGTATTTTGTGCTATCTAGGTGTACTGGTTATCAATTGCTCTCAAGTCTGTTGCGCAAAAGTGTTATTTCTTAATGGAAAAATCAAATTGCCTTTATTATTAATATTTACTGACAACATTAGTATTTTTAAGAATTATTTAAGAAAAATAAGTTTGATTAATTTTACTGAACAACAAATCTCAAATTGAAAAGATAAATTAGAGAATCCTGATGAAAATAAAAATCCGAGCGTAAATCAGATGTAATGGAAGAGTAACGAAAAAGAAGCGTAAACGAAACTTCGAGAAAGTGAAAGTTGAAACAATGAAATGTAAAAGAAACATTTACGCGAGAATTTTTCCTTAGAATTTTTCCTTTACTCTGAAAATATGATAGTCGTGGAACAACATTGGTATTTCTAAGAATTTTAATGTAAATCTCTCTCTCATTCATTAATAAAACTACAATAAAGTATAAAATAAGTTTAATTAATTTTACTGAAGTGCATGATAAAAATCTTTAAAATATTAATAAATAGTACCCAGCTCAACAATTAAACCATTATAAACGGGCTATAATTAGATGTGACAAAGCAAAATTTATTATTTTACAATATAATTTTCCACCGATACGTTTCGACTATTTTTACCCCACCTTCTTCCCCCCCCCCTCTCCTGCTTCAGGGATGCACGACTTTGACGCGAGTTTCATCCTACTTTCCCCTGCTTCAGGGATGCATGACTTCCACGCGAATGGATCATCCCACGCAGCACTTTATCCTGAGGCTATTCCAAATTATTCCATATTGACAAAGCGATCCCACGGAAATCCAAAGAAAATATTGTAAAATATCGTAAAATGTTGTAAGATATTTTATAATTATCTTAAGATATCTTGGGATATCGCGATCTTGTGATATTCGTGAATAGTCTCAATTATCCAATGGATATCCAGGGGATGTACAAGTGTGCGCGCGTATGTGAGATCTCACGTCTTAGACGACATCTGTAAGATATCCAAGAAATTCTAAATAAGATATTACAAATAGATACATATGCATATGTATGTATGTGGTTATTATCTAAAATAAAAGAGAAATGTTTTAGGATACCGTATTATGGAAATAAGAAATATATATGTTATTTCCCATTATTATATAGTGAAATAAAAGGTTAATTTGAAATAATATGTTACATCTTTATAATTTATATATTTTTAGGCGTTCGGTAACATTTCCCGAGTATCTCCGTGTATCGTTTTGTTCTTGTTGTTTACCCAATGTTAAACAAGGATAAGATGATATACGGAGGCACTTGGATAATTTTTTCAAATACAATCTTAGTATAATATTTAATATATTGAAAATCTTTGTAAGCTTTATATGAAATATATCTTAATTGGTACACAGTACATCGTATCATGTCATGATCGAGTTTGCTGGCATATTGCTAATAGTGTACTGCCAGAGCTGGTGCTATTAGCATTTTGCTATCTGGATACATATTGATAAATATTGCCAAATTTCACGTAAATTTCACAAATTTTCACTTTCCTAAATTGCAAAATAATTAAAGCTACAAATTGTTAACTAAACTAAAAGATGTTTAGATAAAGGTTTAAAATATTTTTGGAAAATCTATGGAAGTATAGTAAATATTAATGGGAATATTATATATATGGTATATATATATTCGGTTTTATAATGTCTTTCATCATTGTTTGATATCATGCCTGTGATGCACACGTAGTACATCGAGCATACGGGATCTATAATTTTAACACTGGTTTCGAACGGTAGTTTTTGAGAGGTTTTCTTGGCAATAGATACTCTTGGTGGTTTGTCAGACCATCAAAGAGGAGCTACCATACAAATGCATGAAAAATTCTTTGAATCTGCCCGGGATTTCTGGCATAGCAGTCTCGTGCGCTACTACGCCACGCTCGTGCTCAATGGGAATATTATGATATAGTAAAAAAAGCGATTTGTTATAAATGAATGTATATATAAAAAAATATATGTATAGGAAATATTGTAAATACATGGACTTGTTACCAGAAAGTAAGCAATACTTTTATATCAAGCCCATTATTTATAATAAATGGCTTTTTTCATTGCATTATAACGTTGATATATTAATATTATAATATTTAATTATACTTAAATTATACTTAATTATACTTTAATTATACTTAATATTTATTATACTTTTGGATATTTTCCAGAAATGTGTCAAATTTGGATCTGAAGAATTTTTAGTGTAGTTTATTTTCAATTTAGAAAAACTGCAAAAATTTAATTATTACATTACTTATTACATTACTTATTATTATTTTCATTAATCACTATTTATTTAATTAATAAATTCTAAAGTTTGAGTATTAGTTATTAAAATGATACTTCTGCAACTTTATTTTAATTACAGAAAATTATATTACGGAAAATTCATTTGGAAGGTTATATAGCTCATTACATATAATTCATAGCCAAAATTTCTATCCTTTTAAGTAAATTAATTATAATTATTGATAAGTATGAGAACATTAATATCTTGACATTTGTTATATTATTATTTATTACGTTTGAATTTTGTATTGTATGGATCGTAGCAGCATAAAATAAGATGATGATGCACGCAATACCTTAAATTAAATTAGACAAAATTTTATATTTTTTAATCAAAAAATTATATGTAGGAGAGACTGTGGACAGTTGTAACGGAGGTTAGTTGTAATAATGCATATATCTTTTAAATGATAAGAGATAAAATGATCATATGAACAACAAAAATAGTCAGCATTGAGGCCTCATGACATCGCGCGTGCGCCACATGTAAAAGAAGTTATATGTAGGGTGCTCAGATAAACCATGTAAGTAGAACGATGTTATACTTTTTTGTTTTAAATTTTCAAATAAAATACTTTTTATCATGTTTTTATTTTATTAATTCTAAAATACGTTTTCTCAAATTATGTGCATGTCTTTTTTTGATATTTTTAACTAATTTTAAATATATTTATATACATTTTTACAACATTGGTTTGGAGTTAATATTACCGCATCGCCAGGATACATTGTAATACCATTATAATAATTAATGGTAAATGTTAAGAGTCCGCTCACTTCAAATTTTAATAAAAATACACTGAATGATCAATGCGTTTTCGCGTAAAAATAAAAACTTGACAAGAAAAAAGTGTCACTCTATTTCGTGAACCAAAATATTTTAAGTTGACAACTATTCAGGTTAGGAAATCTGTCACAACCATGAAATACTGCGATGCAAGCAAGCGCTGAGGTCACATTTTCATGCTCTATGGCCGCGAATACGTTGTATTTCTTATTATCTTATTGTAATAGATATTATTCACTGCTTTACAAACATAAATTCACTGTTTTACAAAAAATTATCTGTTCTGAAACACAAATTTACTGTTTTAAAAACACAAATTCACTGCTTTGAAACAAATTCTCTACTCTAAAAAAACAAATTCATTGCTTTTTAATAGTAAATTTACTGATTTAAAAATAAAAATATAAAAAGATAATTTCTGTTTTAGAGCAAATAATTTATTTTTAATTTAAAATTTGTGTTTTTTTTACTTGAATTTGTATTTTTAGAGCAGTGAATTTGTTTTAGAACGGATAATTTGTTTATAAAGCAGCGAATTTTTGTTTTAGAGCAGATAATTTGTTTTTACAGCATGTTACAACTTTCCCTAGCTCTGTTTCATTTTGCCCCAAATCAGAACAAGATGTATTAATTCGGATTTTGATATTCTATTCAACACAACAGCCTAAAATTACACATTTTTCCAAATAGTACCATAAAGCTAAATAGTTGTTGTGTCATGTGCATTTGAAAGAAATAAACATATATGTCATGTCATAAATAAAGAAATATATGTATTTCTAAAATAAAGAAATATGTATATTTCTAAAAATTACAACTGTTCCCCAGTTTCCCCTATTATAACTAAGCTATAGTTTTACTTACTGCATTGAAATTTACATATGATAGGTTAACAAAATTACCCGCGGTTATTTTCAATGATTTTCTGCTTTTCATGATGATCATAATGAAAAGCTTTCTTTGCGCTATTGGCATTTTGTACCATTCCGCATTGTATCTGTAAATTTATTACTTTTAGTATCTACTTATCTTTAGTATCTACTTAGCTATCTATTTATCTTTTTTATTCTTTTTTTGTAAAGAAAACATTATACCTTTTACATTATTTTGCGAAACTTGTCAATTTTATTATTTCTTATTTTATTCACTTGAGCATATATGATTTTAGTAAGTGCATTTCTGATAGTATGTGTAAAACGTACGCGGATTCATACACCTTTTCGCTGGAATCTATTATTTTCTGACCTTGCCAATTTTCAAAGAATGTGTTGAGTAAGAGTGCGCTTAGATAACTAGTGTGTTTCAACAAGTGATTGACATCTTCCGTACTCGTTATTACCTAAAGAAGCGTACATGAAATTAATTAATTAACGTAATTAAAATCAACGTATAATTATCAAATAAATATATACATATATAATTACCTGAAATCCTAAAATACTCAGAACCGATATATTAGCTCCAACGTGTATGAAGAGCGGTATTCTATGTATTGACTCAATAGCAAGGGAAAATCTATCATAGTACGTATAAAAGCATAAATTATTATATGCTTTAGAATGACATGTAATGATGAAAACATGTACTAACTGTATCGCCTCCATGTGCCTTCGAATACTGTACACAATATTCGAGTAAAGTTTATTCCTCGCAGGCATCTGCAAATCATCGCCTTCGCATTCAAATGCGTTTTCCAAACGATATCTGCAAGATCACTGTTATTCACAGATATTACTTAAAAGCAATTTTGAGTCAATGATCTAAAACTCACCTCAAAGCTACAAATAAACCGCAGCAATGTTGGATGAGCGTCATATATAAGACGTCGAATGTAAGCATCAAGATTGTGTAAGATATAACGCATGTGGTAACGTGTACAAAAATTGGAATGTAATATTTTTTTGGATCAATCATGTAATTGACGTGGTACGGTAATCCTACTTGTTTATGTGCATTACTTGACGGATCCTCGTCCTCGCTGGATTCCATGTAGAGTAGTTTACTTAATAATGTTGTAAATAGAAAAACAATAGTATGACTGAGTAAGACACCTAATAATTAAAAAAAATGTCACACGTTTTCAGGTTTTCTTATAATTTATGATTTTATCAATGTGATAAGAAGAGATATGCGCGATGTCAAGGTAACATGTAAAATGTTAAAAAGATTAAAATTTGATAAGAATTATAGAAAATATTTTAGTAAATATGCCGAATAGGGAAGACAACCTCGATGATCTTGACTTTGACATATGTTGTCAAGATCATGTCCCTGAGTACCTTCAACAAGTTTTAGCTAATTATTCGTTAACAAGTAATTAACAAAAAAAACTACTGTTATATAAAACAAAAATTGATTGCTTTAAAAATAAAAAGTAAATAAACAAAATAAAGGACTCTTTCAAAACATAATAACAAAACTCAATCTCGGGCGAAGTAAGAGTCAAACATATTTCTTAAATTTTCATAAAAATATATATTATATTAATAGCGATGAAGAATTGTTACATCACGTAAAAAATTGGACTATAAACTAGTAAATGAGTACGCTGTTACAAGTTTCGGCTTCCGGTTTGAGCCTTCTTCAGACATTAGTATAACGAACAAGTAATAGAATCAAATCAATCGTCGCAAATGATCGTATGTTCCGAATGTTATCGATTCGGGTGAGTCTTGGTCTCCACCATAATTCCCGCATGATTGAATTGTCGTGAAGTATTACAATTATTTCGATGAAAGTCTAGTTAATAAAAGGATAAAATTAAAAAACAACAAACACCACTAACATAAGGCTACATTTAAATGCAATAATAAAATGCTGAAGATATAATATAACCAAAAGATAATAATCCCAATTCTTTCATAAACTCACCAGAATCCATGTGTAAGAACTTAAACATAAATGTCCAATACGAACTAAAAACTTATGAAATACAGTAAGAAGCACCGATATGTAAGAACGACATTACGTATCTATTTTTATATACGTTCAGTAGTGCGGATCAACACAGACTGAGAGAGGAGACGGATAAATCATGGACTGTATTAATGAACATTGGATTTATGTTTCCGGAGACTGCCCACTCTCTAGAGAGGAGTTTGTGGGGGCAATAAGGTTTATTCTTGATTCCACATTTTTTTCGTTTAACAACAATTTTTATAAACAAAGTTACGGCACTCCCATGGGGTCCCTCTTATCACCTGTAATAGCGGACTTGGTGATGAGGAGACTTGAGACGGTGGCCTTGATGTCGTTGAACTTGGATGTGACATTTTATTTTAGATATGTGGATGATATTTGCACTGCGGTTGAGCCATCAAAAATTGACTCAATAGTAAAACAATTCAACTCTTTCCATCCACGATTACAATTCACTTCAGAATTTGGGGGTGATGAAATTAGTTTCCTGGATGTTACTATATCTATCATTGGAAACGGGTTTGGAGTTGATTGGTACCGTAAGCCGATCTTTTCAGGGAGGTTTTTGAATTTCTATTCTAACCACCCCATTGCACAGAAAAGAGGGACGATTTTTTCGCTGGTTGACAGAACAATTTTACTTTCAGACGTTCAATTTCACACACAGAATTTGACACTTACCATTAACATTTTATTAGACAATGACTACCCATTATCCCTTATATTTGACACAATCAACCTACGAATAAAAAATTTGAATAGAAATAGACACATAACACAGAACAGTTTGAATGACAAGGTCGAAGCGAGGGAATCGGTGTCGTGGCTTACGGTTCCGTTCATCCCTCTCCATACAGAAAAGTTCAATCGGTTCAACAAAAACGACATCAGGGTTTCTTTCCGTAGTCCGAACAAACTCAAAAAATACATCAAAGTACACAAAGATGTGTATCCACATACATCGAAGAACAACGTGGTTTACAAAATTTCATGCAGAGATTGTGACGCTTCGTACGTGGGACAGACAGGTAGAAAATTAAAGACAAGGATTGCTGAACATCGTAATCACATTAGATACAACACGTCGGCCCGATCTGTCATAACGGAGCATAGGAGACAACTAGACCATGAATTTAAATGGGATGAGGTCGAAATCTTAGACGAAGAGCCTTGCTATCGGAGATGTTTGATTTCCGAGATGATTAATATCAAGAAACAAAAGAATGGTCTCAATTTACAGACTGATACCGATGGCCTTCACAAAGCTTATATTCTCATCATAAATAGAGTTTGACTTTCGGTTAAGAATAATCCGTCTCCTCTCTCAGTCTGTGTTGATCCACACTACTGAACGTAGATAAAAATAGGCACGTAATGTCGTTCTTACATATCGGTGCTTCTTACTGTATTTCATAAGTTTTTAGTTCGAATTGGACATTTATGTTTAAGTTCTTACACATGGATTCTGGTGAGTTTATGAAAGAATTGGGATTATTATCTTTTGATTATATCTTCAGCATTTTATTATTGCATTTAAACGTAGCTTTGTGCTAGTGGTGTTTGTTGTTTTTTAATTTTATCCTTTTATTAACTAGAATTTCATCGAAATAATTGTAATACTTCACGACAATTCAATCATGCGGGAATTATGGTGGAGACCAAGACTCACCCGAATCGATAACATTCGGAACATGCGATCATTTGCGACGATTGATTTGATTCTATTACTTGTTCATTATACTAATGTCTGAAGAGGGCTCAAACCGGAAGCCGAAACTTGTAACCAATTTTTTACGTGATGTAACAATTCTTCATCGCTATTAATATAATATATATTTTTATGAAAATTTAAGAAATATGTTTGACTCTTACTTCGCCTGAGATTTAAAAATAAAAATATTCGATAATTGTTCACTATAAGGGATTCAGTCTCGATGACCTTGACTTAGACATAGGTTCTGTCTGGCGCTGCTCTAAAGCAGCCAATTTCTGTGAAGCAATGAATTTTTGTTTTACACAAGAAAAGTTTTGGACACAACTGCACTTCAATGAAATCTACATTACCACCATCGTTTCGCGTTGTAAAGTATATACATGGATACACTAGACTCCATTACCGATTTCTGTTGTAACGAAAATTATGAACCCATGTAGAATCTGGCTTTGTGTTATAAAGTATATGCATGGATACAATGGGTTCCGTTCCCCCTGCGGGGCTCCATTTCGAAAAAATAACCTAACTTAACCCATATTTGGTGTGAGGCTCTCGCTACACGTAGAAAGTTGTAAATCCATATTGAACATTATTGCTTCATGAATTTACGCGCTTTCCGCGCGGAAGTAAAAAATGGGTTGGGTTAGGTTATTTTTGTTTTCGGAATGGAGCCTTCCGCAGGGAGGGGGAGGGTGGAATCCACTGCATCCACTTTACAATACAAAGCCAGATTCTATATGAGTTTATAACTTTCGTTATAGCAGAAATAATACATTATTTTTTCAAATTTTTTTGTTAATAACTTTTTAACGAATAACAAGCGACGGCTAAAACTTGTTGGAGGTTATTCAGGGTTATGACCATGACAACATATGTCAAGATCAAAATCATCGGGGCTGTCTCCCCTATTCAACATATTTACTAATATTTTCTTTTTATAGTATCCACAAAAATATGCGTTGCGACAAAATATTGAGTTGTTCGGAAAGTAATTTCGTTTTTTCCCAACAGAGGACTGTATTTTTTCACAGCCAACTTCACACTTAAGCCGCATAATCATTATATATTTTGACAGTTGATATAGCAAGGCTTGCTTGTGAAAAAAGTTCGATTGATTCTACGCAGTAGTTTTTGGTTGGTGCCCTATCAAATATGGAAAGTGAAAAGCAGCATTTTCGGTATATTTTACTTTTTTACTATCGAAAAGGTAAAAATGCTGTTCAAGCAAGAAAAAAATTATCCGATGTGTATGGAGAAGATGTATTGACAGAACGCCAGTGCCAAAACTGATTTGCAAAATTTCGATTCGGCAATTTTGATGTTGAAGATGCACCACGTTCTGGA